AATGTAGTACCGGGAAAACATTTAATCGGAAATTATTTGTTACGCAATCAAAATTATTAAAATCAAAATTGAAAAAATGATGGAACTTAACTATCACTTAAATTACAATTATTTTCAACTTTTTGAACTAGGTTGCAGGATTAATTCATTAATATCTGCACGAAGTTCAGGGTGATAGGAATTCTAATTCACAGTTTTAATCCATATTACATTATTACGAGGTCTGCAAATTTATAAATTAAAAAAAAGTGTTTTAAAAATTTAAATATGTTGATTAATGTTACTTTAGGACTGTGTAATACCTCTACCCGATCCTTTTGTAAGTGTTCCACGACGCTCGTCTTTGCCTTGAATTTTTATTATAATTCTTGATATTAGTCTTAAAATTGATATTAGTCTTAAAATTGTCATCTCGAATATTTTTTGAGTAAACATAATATGTAAAAATTTTAATAGTAAAAGCAGTCATGCAATTTTAAAAGTACAATTCGGAACTCCGTAAGATAAGTAAGCGTTTCTCTTAATGACCGGAAAATAGAGATAAAAAACACGATGTGTGATCTACGTAGAAGTCCGATACGTGCAGTTAAACGGATGGGATTATAAAAATAAAAATTTCGAAATGAAAATTGCTCTGAATTCGATTGCATTTAAAAATAAGAATTGCAGGATAAAAACGACCGAAAACGTTACAAAAATTAAAATTCGCCCTGCATTTAATGGTACAGTACAACTGGTTGTTCTTGTAGATTGTGACGAATGCAGTTTTACCGAATTGTTTAATTTAAAATATATCTCTTCACGTCAAATTAGTAATGTATTGACTCTGTATATCATACTTTCCTGTAAGCAACAGACTTTTGCCGGTTATCAGTCTGACTTCATTAAGGGGAAATATTTGAATTGAAATAACGTGACTTCCGGTTTGAATCGTAAGTTCCTATATATTTAATCGGGCATCCTCCGCAACTAAGCTTTCCATATCTTATTTTGGCATTGTCTAACTCCTTTCTGCAGATTAATGAAGGTCAGACGAACAACAGACGGACGACAGTGGAAATTTATAGCTCTACAGTTTTTTAAAATTGAGGCTCAATAAAGGGAATTGAACAGTCTTACAACTAAGTTTATTTGCTAACATCAGAAAGCTGAAAATTCTTTTTAATTTTTGCAGTGAGTTTTTAAAAATGCAACTTTTAATCTCGAAAAACCTGGAAATCACAAGATAATTGACAATTAAAAATTATCGACATTATGTTTATCAATATATATCTTCAACATCTTAGTTAAGTCTATAAGCATTGCTATCAATACATTTTTCGTTTCCTATATAAAAATTTAAGCTATATATAAAATATATTGTAATAAAAATCTATGATAACAATTAAAAATTGTTGATTAGGAAAAATTTGTTTAATGATTATATTTATATTTTATAAACACTTTTTATCGAAGGTGCAAATTTAAACATAAGACGTGCCCAGAAAATATTGACAATTTTTAATACAGCGTACCAAACAATGTCAAAAAACCAATTACCGCTTGTATAATCCGTGAGATTTATTGTTCTTACAGCATTTCTGACGAATTTATTTCTATCCAGGCATATATTTTCAATGAATTTCGAATATTTAAAATTTTTAGTGCGTTCCTCAACCAATCTGGTCCAAATCGCAAAAGGAGTAAGAGATTGAAAACTCACATTTTTCCATTTATATTCGTAAGACAACGCTCGAATGAAACGATCGGAAAACGCTTTACTTGCCGAATACACGCTCAAAAATGGCAAAGGCATTGCCGAGGCCATTGACGAAACAGTAACGATGGCGGCCTTTTTTCTGGATAATATCGAAGGTAAAAACAATCGCGTCGTGTGAACCACCGCTTTGATGTGTAATTCTAACATTAAATTCACATCCTCCTCGCTTTCGTCTAATATACAACACGGACAGTCATCCATAACACCGGCACAGTTGACTAAAATGCCAACATTCGTATCCTGCAGTCTGCTGAAAACTTGTTCGTAGGCATTATCGTGGCTAAGATCGACGTGAATGTAGCGACATTCTACTCCGTATTGACTTGTAATTTCTTCGGCGGCATCTTTCAGAGCCTGCAATTCGTTGCTTACGATTACAATGTGTAAACCTCGTTTGGCCAGTTCGTTAGCGTAGCCTCTTCCTATTCCCGAACTTCCTCCCGTGATCACGGCCCACGGTCCGAATTCCTTCAAATCCGAAGTGCATAGAGAGAAGAGATGTACCCTCAACACGTTGACAAACTTCCATATTAACGTTGAGACAAAGAGAATTGTACAGAATATACCAAAATAAGCCAAAATGCAACTTTGTTCTATGGCTTCTACCATGATTTAATTCTGTCTTTCTGATGTATCGATAAATAAAAATTAAAATTGATCTGTTTCTACGTTTATCAATCAATCTGTGTTATATAGCTTACTATATAGTTTATAAATACGTCGTAGATAAAGAGCAAAGATTACAGCCTTGATTATTATTTTGCTTTAACAAAAATATTTATTAATTTTATGATAACGAATATAAGAAGTTTAAGTGCATTTCGTTCGGAATTAGCACAAGTTTGCTGTTGGGAACAAATCACACAGGAACTTTTTTCGATAGAAAAAGCAGTTTATTTTCTATAATTTTAAAAGATACGCATTTTGTGCTAATTCCCCTTTTCAATCCTATTTTATTGAATATATCGGCAAAAATTATATATGAATACATTAAATTATTAAATATTTAACATAAGTATTTTTTATGAAACCGTGTCGTTTTCGTATTGTTGACTTGTTAAACACTGACTTTACAGTGTATTTTGAAGACACGTGGCAAATTTTCATCATTTATGTTTATTTAGTTGGTACGTATCGTTGGTAAATAAACCGTCCCAACTGAATAATAATAAATGGTTCTATAAAAAATAACAAATTTTTCGTAAAAAATACAAATCAAATCAGAAAAACCAGAAACGGCAATACTTATGGAAAGAAGTCAACATCAAGATTGCGGATACAAAGAGAAAGTACAAGTTTTATGAAGAGGGGCAAAAACAGCCCGAAACGAGTACAGAAAAACGATGTTCCGTAGCAACTAAATAAAGATAAATGATGAAAATTTGCCACGTGTCTTCAAAATACACTATAAAGTCAATGTTTAACGAGTCAACAATTTAACATAAGCGTAGAAAAGTTTTCTCAAAAACTATAATTATCTAAAAAATATTGTAGTGACAGCTGAATAACTAATTATTATAATCATTGGGTGAAATAAAGTAAATCTGAAAAAATTAAAAAACTAATATTAATAAATAAGTAAATAAATAAATGCAGTAAAAATATTAAAATAATAAGACGTATACCTGTACAAATAAAATTATTTTTTTAATTTCTACAAAACCATGGGCTAGTCGAAGGTGTGGGGGTTATAAACAAATGTTTCACCCTCATATCTTTTCGTAATTGCACAATTTTCTTGTTCCTTCAAGACTGGAACTTTTGTCAGTACTATATTTAATATGGTCTATACAATACACACACGCACAAACAAAAATAAATAATAAAAACCATAAATACGTGTGATTTTCAAATTGTTTATGTTAATTGTAATTACTTAACATCAATTAATGATTTTTTCCTAATTCTTTACGATTACAATTAAATTAAATATCATTTAAAACTTGAAAACTAATTTAAAGAAGAAAAACGTCAATAAAAGTTCTTTAACGTTATTTTAAAAAATCGAGATGAGGGACGAACTAGTCCGAAACACGATATCGTGTAAAATGGTCAAAAATAAAGACTGTTTTTTTCTGAGAAATTTTCTTAAATTTGCTGAACCAAATCGTCGGTATAATAAGTCTTATTAATAACATAAGTCCGAGTAGACATCTTAAATACTAAACTATATGATAAGGACACAGAGGCATATAATATAATACAATACATGTGTATAGTTAAGAAATTTTTAAAGCAAAACGAGTAATTATTTATTGTCAAATCGTCACAATGCCAGGTTGCAATTTTTAATCATATTTTTTAATTTATTTAATTTAATGTATATGCTCGCCATCTTCAAATTAGTAGTGTCTTGCTCCTGAGCATTATACTTTTCCTGCTAGCAGTAGAGTCATGCCGGTCATCTATCCAACTTTTTTCACCGAAAATATTTGAATTAAAATAACGTGACTTCCGTTGGACCAGAGGTTTGCATATAGTTAATCGGGGCTTCCTGCTCGTACTCTTTTCACATCTGCTCTGTGCATTCATTTATCTAACTTCGTTCTCGAGAATAACGAAAAATAGCCGAACCGACGACAGTAGAAATTTATAGGTCTACAATTTTTTTTAATTGCGGCCCAAAAATACAATGTTAGTACATGACAAATGTAGTGACGTCACATAGCAAAATTAAAGAACAGTGTTACGCAATGCAAGATGATTGCGACTGTAAGTGTTGTAAAATTACTAAAAAAAAAATCAAAACTGTCGCAAACTGCACCTACGTAGGTTTATTTGTTCTCTAAATTTTACATATTTTAATAACTAAATTTCAAAAAAAGTTTTTTATCTGTACAGTGAGAGGGATCGGTACAAACTCAGATGAAAATAGGAATCTGTCAATTCAAATTGTCTTCTGTGTGGTTCTTGATCTCTGGTGAACGTCGAATTGGAAGGACATAACAAATTTATTTGCCTACAAACTCATTTCTGGTGGTTACAAAAATAAGAGATTTTATCAGACGAATATTGCTGATATTAGTCTTATATTAAACTTTAAACTTCTTATATTCATTATCATAAATTTGAATAAATATTTTTCTTAAAGTAAATATGAATCAAGGCTGTGATTTTTGGTCTTTATCTACTTCACGTGTATAAACTATATATTAAGTTATATAACACAGATTAATTGCTAAATGTGGTAACAAATCAACTTTTATTCTGTTTCAATACATCAGAAATATAGAAATTAATCATGTTCGAAGCCATAGAACAAAGTTGCATTTTGGCTTATTTTGGTATATTCTGTACTATTCTCTTTGTCTCAACGTTAATATGGAAGTTTGTCAACGTGTTAAGGGTACATCTCTTCTCTCTATGCACTTCGGATTTGAAGGAATTCGGACCGTGGGCCGTGATCACGGGAGGAAGTTCGGGAATAGGAAGAGGCTACGCTAACGAACTGGCCAAACGAGGTTTACACATTGTAATCGTAAGCAGCGTATTGCAGGCTCTGAATACTGCAGCCAAAGAAATTACAAGTCAATACGGAGTAAAATGTCGCTACATTCAGGTCGATCTCAGCCACGATAATGCCTACGAACACGTCTTCAGCAGATTGAAGGATACGGATGTTGGCATTTCAGTCAACTGTGCCGGTGTTGTGGGCGACTTTCCTTGTCGTATGTTAAACGAGAGCGACATGACTGTGAATTTAATGTTAGCACTACACATCAAAGCGATGGTTCACACGACGCGATTGTTTTTACCTTCGATGTTAGCCAGAAAAAGGGCCGCCATCGTTACTGTTTCGTCAATGGCCTCTGTAATACCTTGTACATTTTCATGCGTATATTCGGCGTGTAAAGCGTTTTCCGATCGTTTCACTCGAGCATTGTCTTACGAATATAAATGGAAAAATGTGAGTTTTCAATCTCTTACTCCTTTTGTGATTTGGACTAAAATGGTCGAGGAACACACTAGAAATTTTGAATATTTCGAATTGATTAAAAGTGTGTCCCTCGATAGAGATAAATTCGTCAAAAATGCTATAAGAACAATAAACCTTACGAATTATACAAGCGGTAATTGGTTTTGTGACATCGTTTTGTATGCTGCCTTTAGCATTTTAAATATTTACTTGCACATTAAAGTTGCACGTATAAAAATTAGTTATAAAATATAAATAGAATAATTAAACATATTATTCCTAATCAATTTTTTATGGAATATTTTATCATCTAAATTTTGATCGTGGTTGAAACTTTGATAGTTTATAGTGTATAAAGTCAGAATCTACAAATCTATTCAATATTAGCATTGATAAAATGATAATATTCAATAGATTTTACTAATTGTTATAAAAAGCATAAAAAATATCCTAGAATTTTATAATATAATCGAAACGGGTTAATGATGATGCTGATGATAATAATAAGCGCAGAACCAAAAACGTTAGCAGTTGAAAGTTGAAATTGAGTACACAGTTAGGGTACGCCAAGAAAATGTAAACTAAGAAGGGTTTTTCGTAATTCTCGATGAAGAAAGAGAGAGGAAATTAATGATTTCCCTGAAGAACTCGGCTTCAACTGTACTATTTTAGTGGTGGTTTTTTGCGTTTATGCAGAAAATCGAACATATTTTTAGACCCATCTAAACATTCTCTAATTAGTCTCGGAAGAGGGAAACCTAATTTTTTAAACCAGTGAAATTGGATAAAATCGGCTATATAACTATAAAGGTTATGTGACGTAAGAGGTCATTACTTTATAAAATTTGTAAAATTTATTAAAGAAATTTATACTTTTGTAACAAATTTCTTAATGAAAGATAATAAATAAATTTCTTTGAAATGTTTTATCTTCATAATTTGTAAATATTTATAATGATCGTGTTAATAATTTTAATAATTCCGTGATTCATTAAGATTTATTTAAGTAATTAAAAAGTTTTGTTTGCTAATGAATTTTTAAAAATCTAAAAATGATAATTCATCAGAAAAAAAAACGCTCAGTGAACGTAAACAGTAACAAAGAAAAAAAGTAGGTATATTATTTCATTGATTATTCTATTTCTTTTGGACTTGTATCGGACCGTTTATGTAACCTTGAATTTGGTAGGTTTTGTTGAATTTAAAAGCTGATAAATATACAGAAAAAACTCACGTTGCAAAATTGTAAACATGACTAAAAATTGAGTGAGAAATGTTTTTCGACAATGCGGATAAAATTATATTAAATAGCGATCATCTGTGCTATTTTGTTTAAAACAGGAACACGGCGCAGGATAACATTTTATGATCTATTATTGTAGCGTTTAATGCGTTAACACGTTAAAAACGTGTATGTAAAAACGTAAATAAATTTTAGATTGTGTCCATTCAGAGCTTTGTTTTGCACCATATAAGGTATATACTGCAAAAGACTTAAAAATTTCGTAAAATTTCATTGTAAAGTGAAGTCTAAACTAGTGTCGTCCAACGAAAATTGTTTACTGGGCCAAAACAAAAAATAAAAATACACTGTGGGCCGCACATATTTCTTTACAACAAACAAAATACTGCATAATTGCATATGTTATGTATTTTAATGTGAAACTTGCCATTTAATTTTTTCACTTACGTTTTTAATATCAACAGGTATTTTTGATGTTGTCGAACGTAGTTAATTTTTCAAGTTTTTATCGGTCAATCTATTATGATTTTTACATTTAACAATCTTTAATTTTGAGAAAAAACATTCACGAAGATAGGTGATTCCCATTGCAGCTGTAATGTTCAGCTTTTTTTTTTTCTTAGCATAGGGAATTTATCATTGCACACGTATTTTGTATAAAACTGAACTTTGTTATTGGCCTCAAACATATATTTCAATTCAAAACATGACTGGAAATCTATCAAATTTATCTGCAAATTTGTTGGAGCTTGTTCCACAAGAATGTCAAATAGATATAAGAAAATATTAAATATATTAGCAGATGAGCCCGGCGTTGCTCGGACAAAAAGTAACGATAGCGACGATTCAGATTATTAGATTATAGCCGATCTTACTCGTTTTTACCGGGTGCGAGAATTAGGTCCCCCTCTTCCGAGACTTATTAGAGAATTTTTAGATGGATCTAAAAGTATGCTCGATTTCCAGCAAAAAACGCATCAAAAATTACAGAAAAATCTAAATTTAAAGTAATCCTTAAAGAAATATAATTTCGTTATAACAAAACACCAATTTAAAAACATTTGTTGCTCTGAATATACTGATTAAATACAGAGCCTATATATACAGTATGTACTGTAGATATATATACATATTATATGTAATACAATTGAAGCCTTGTTAAAAATATTTGAAGACATTTAAAAACATTTAAAAAAATTTAATCTTGTATAATCGTTATCATAAAATCGAATAAAAATTTTTCTTAAGTAATAGTATTAAAGTAATAATCTTTGGCCTGTATAATAATCAACACATGTATAAAGTCCATAGTAAATTCTTTATCAGAGATTGCTTGATAAACGTGGAAACAAATCAAGTTTTATTTTTATTTCTCGATACATCAGAAAAACAGAATTAAATCATGTTAGAAGCCATAGAACACAGTTGCATTTTGGCTTATTTTGGTATATTCTGTACAATTCTTTTTGTCTCAACGTTAATATGGAAGTTTGTCAACGTGTTAAGGGTACATCTCTTCTCTCTATGCACTTCGGATTTGAAGGAATTCGGACCGTGGGCCGTGATCACGGGAGGAAGTTCGGGAATAGGAAGAGGCTACGCTAACGAACTGGCCAAACGAGGTTTACACATTGTAATCGTAAGCAACGAATTGCAGGCTCTGAAAGATGCCGCTGAAGAAATTACAAGTCAATACGGAGTAGAATGTCGCTACATTCACGTCGATCTCAGCCACGATAATGCCTACGAACACGTCTTCAGCAGACTGAACGATACGGATATTGGTATTTTAATCAACTGTGCCGGTGTTCTGGGTGACTTTCCGTGTCGTTTACTAGACCTGACTGATGAGGATGTGAATTTATTGTTACAATTACACATCAAAGCGGTAGTTCACACGGCGCGATTGTTTTTACCTTCGATGTCGTCCAGAAGAAGAGCCGCCATCGTTACTGTTTCGTCAGCGGGCTCCGTAATACCTTTGCCATTTTTAAGCGTGTATTCGGCAAGTAAAGCGTTTTCCGATCGTTTCACTCGAGCATTGTCTTACGAATATAAATGGAAAAATGTGAGTTTTCAATCTGTTACTCCTTTTGGGGTTTGGACTAGAATAGCTGAAAAAGGCATTAGAAGTTTTAAATATTCCGAATTGATGAAAAGTATGTGTCTAGATAGAGATAAATTCGTCAGAAATGCTGTAAGAACAATAAATCTTACAGATCATACAAGCGGTAACTGGTTTTGCGACGTCGTTTGGTATGCCGCATTCAAAATTGTCAATATTTTATGGTCCTATCTTATGTTTAAAATTACACCTGTATTTAAACAGTCTTTATAGAATATAAATATAATAATTAAAGAAATTATTCCTAATCAATTTTTATAGAATATTTTATCATTTAAATTTTAATCGTGGATTAAACTTTGATAGTTTATAGTCTATAAGCAGAGAATATAATGATAACGAACAATTATTTATTGTGATATCGTCACAATGCTAGGTTAAAATTTTTAATCACATTTTTAATTTATTTAATTTAAAGTAGGCCTACATCATATCAAGTGTATATGCTCTACACCTCAAATCAGTAGTTTCTTTTTCCTGTATTGTACAGTACATCATAGTTTTTCTTTAGCAATCGAGTCGCGCCAGGTATTTATCTAACACCTTTCAGGAGAAAAGATTTGAATTAAAATAATATGACTTCCGGTTCTGTCTAACTCCGTTCTCCTCGAGATTTAAGGAAGGACAGACAGACAGGCAGACGGACAACAGTGGGAATTTATAGATCTATA